ACATGTTCCAGACATTGTTTAGATCTCTGTCTTCTTCGGTCTTCAGCATTTCAAGTTTTCAGCCTTCTGGCAATTGCAGTCCGAGGGATAAACTACACCGCCGATCAGCCGTAAATTGTCCCGCCCGAAGGTCCCGCCGATCGATCCACTTTCCTGGGAATTTGCGGATATAATTCCGCCCCTGGGATTTATGCACCTGCGAGTTATCAATCCCAGTGTAATTACACTGAGGCAATAACCTTAAATTTTCAGCAGAACCGAAGGGTAGCAGGGGGGTAAGCGTTATATATTGGCTAGTGAAAAATATTTGTTCACTTTGTATCAATATTAGGAAAACATTTGTTTGGGTTCCCCACAATAGACCTGGGAACTTCTATCAGTACCTCATGCAAAACAAGTTCTGGAAACTTTTGGGATAACTAAAAATTTTAACTTCGGATGACATAACTGAGTGTAAGTGAATATTAACAGAAAGTAATACTATTAAAGAAATTTATATATATGTATTATTAAGGTAAGTTCTTAATAATAAATATTCTTTCTTCTTCTTTCCTTAAGAATATAAATTTGATGTATCCGGTTATTGCAGCTAGAGTTTTGGGATTAATTTAATTCGATACCGACCAATCGTATTTACATTGCTACAAAATTTATTAAAAAGTATTACTCAAAGAAAATCTACGTGGTTTTTGATCAGGGCTATAATGACCACACATCCCCTTAAACATTAACTCATTTTTGGGGGAGGGGTTTATAATAATTAATAGTATGAACTTGCATAACTATGCAAAATGTAGAGTTAACTTTATTGAAAATATAAGGACAATAAATAGATCATTTATACTTATTTCCTTAAGGTATATTCAGTTAAGTGTAAGGTCTTTCATAAAACGGGAGAGATCTACATTCGATGGAGAATGAGTGAAAAAATACCTGGCTATCAAAGCTGTAGCCTTTAACTCAAATTCAACTTATGGCTTTACCTTATAATATAAAATGGCTACATCTAAAATTTGATAAAAATGTGTTGAAAACTGAAAAAGTTTTGTACGTTTTTTTTTGTAAGCATTTTCCGATCCTTTCTATGGCTATCCTATACATACACTATACTATACTATACTATATTCTGACATATATACGAGTGAGAGGGTTTAGAAGACAAACTGCAGTTTCATTCTGATACCTTCAAAACTAAAACGGACAGAAGGACAGACGGGCATGGCTAGATCGACTCGGCTGTTGATGCTGATCAAGAATATATATACTTTATATGGTCGGAGATGACTCCTTCACTGTGTTGCAAACATATGACTGAAATTATAATACCCTGCAGGGCTATAAAAATACTGCTTGAGACCGTTAATTATTTAATTTATTGAAATTATAAGTGTAAACTATATGCTTTAGAAAAATAACCCAATTTAATAAAATGAAATTAAAAAAATGCAATGCTTCTTTTAATATTTCCATGCCACAAATTTTAGCCAAAGTGTCTTGAGACTTGGGCAGAAATCCTCGTATTTCCATTCATGTTAATTTTATTTTTATTTCTTAGTTACTTCTTCTATTTCTGCGCAGTACTTGCAAACTTTGCAGCATTGCAAATTGATCAAATATCAGTCTGAATTTGGTCAGTAAGGTCTGACAGTTAAATGAATACATTTCACATATCCAAATTTCGCATTTTGCCGCACATTTTCCCTACACACGATGGGTATATTCTAAACAATAATAAACACACGCACAACCCCCAAATTTTGCAAATCGTCAAAAGAAAAAACCCCATTCGATTCTATGGTTCTTTTGTTTTTGCCGATTTTTGTTTTTGATCAAGCAAATATTGTTCCGTTCAATGAAACAAAGAGAGTACTTTAATGGGGAAACGGAATCTAGATCAAAGATTTTTGAGGGGGTCTTGATAATTTCGGACTGAACTTCTGGGAAATTGTGGGTGGTTGTGCGGAAATCAGACAATTACCTAAAAATATGAATAACTACAAAACTTGATACAATTTCCGAAACATCAGTTTTAATGTTGAATGGAACATCATTTCGTTAACTCATTATGATTACTATAAATATTTATTACTACACTATGCTATAATATCTATTATTATTTAAATATAAACCATTATCGTAGTCAGTCCTCTTTTGCTCTCAGGCAATTAATGGGTTAGAAAAGTTTCGTTTTAAGGTGTTTAGAATGTTATTAACTTTAAATGATATTTATTTAGCTCTGATAATCGCACTACATAGAAGTGATTATATTTAGTATGGGGCCATGTGATGCGGTGCTGAAATCTATTTCCAAATGCGAATCACAGACCATTTGGGGCGCCATGGGTGGGCGACCATCTAAGGTCTTTGGCTCTTGGCTCTATTCGGGGGAAAACTCTTTTCCTCCGCTGGCAGTTTGTATTTGGAAATCGCTTTGATGTCGGCAGGTGGCCAAAGCTACCATATAAAGAGTCAGAGCATTAAAGTATAAATGTTGGTTCTAGTACAACCTTTTCGAAAGTCCCGGAGTAGAAATGCAGTGGAAATCAAAACCAAATAAATTCTTCAGTTCCAGTTCCGGTCTGTCCGAACAGATAGACAAACAAACAGAAGGAATTCCTCCTTTTTTTAAATTGTAATCAAATTCGAAAATCGGGGAAAAAAAACGAAATTGCTTAAAATCAAATTAAACGTGCCGACTGCGAAATTTTTCATTCAAATTGTTGTTTATCTGGGGGTCTTCTTTGTTTGATTTTGATTTGAATCAATTGAATGGTTAAATATAGACCATAAAGATAATACAACATGCAAATATCTGAAGGGTGAGCCCCATCAATCGGAAGAACTCTCGAAGGTTGCCCTCGAAATGTGAAGGGTGAATTTATATTCGTATTGATTTAGGTGTTTGTGCAAATATTTTAAACATTTCTGTTGAAATTTTAGAAAAATAAAGCTTGTTGTAAAAGCGAATATCTTTATAAGAAAATCAAAAACTATAAAAATTGTAAATGTGAACCTTTGTAAGGTTTTTGATGGAATATATCATAACTCATACATTACTTTAAATTTTCTCATTTTGGGAATAGGTAGAAATATGTTTAAAAATAACTATATAATAATATTTCTAAAAATTTTCCAATAATTTCTATGACAGATATAAGTTATGTTGTAAAACTGAAAGACTTTTTTGCATAGAAATTGACGGACAGACAGATGGGGCTAGTTTTACTATGCTGATCAAGAATTTATTAACTTTAAAGAATCTCATTAGTATGTATGTATATTTTATTACACTCCAAACTTTTGACTAAAATCATAACACTCATTGCAAGGGCATTAATTAAATTAGTTAAAGGACAGGCATCCTGCGGTACCCATGCCCAGTTACACACTACCAAGGACCTCAAAATTTACAACGCCGTGAAGGAGTCATTTCCGATAACGTAATACAAATAGAATTGCTGCTAATGTAACTTGCTTACAATATTTTCAATTACCATTTTAGTAAATATCATAATTTTGTGAAATTAAGTAATTAGTCTATTATGTCACCAAAATTTCCTAGTTCTAACACTCAGCCTCTGATATTTGTTGTCTCAAACGTTAATCCGAGGGATATTCGAAATAATTACGGTTTACAAATCCATTTTATATCGATTATTGAGACCTGTGCTGAAGTATTTTAAACATTTCAACAAAATCTAATAATAATATGGTAGCTATCAAGTTTTTAGTTCGTTGAGTTTCTGTTTATGTTACATTTTTTGCAGCATGCGCTGATAAAAATATGTTTTCTATATTTAAGAAAGAAAGAAAAGAAAAATGATTTAAGTTCCAAGGCTAAACTAAAATAAATTTTCTAGAATTAAGAGATTAACTGTGATAGCTGGGTTATCATGCTTATTTGCGTAAACTATTATACCAGCTTATACTTTGTCCACAGAATCTATTTCAATCTTTTCAAAAATTATAATTTTTTCAGAACGAATATTATGACGTGCACCTACAAAAGAGTAAGTTAAGGAAGCAATACTTCCGAAGTACCCATATTTGAATATCTAGTTCAGGGATGACCAATTAGAGAGAAACTGTAGAGTTAATTTGAAGAAAATTTTAGTTGCCATTTTTATGGAGACATTACTTCAAAATTAGGACGTCTTGCCTTTCGGCTACATTTTTAGAGCGATTCTTTTAATATACGGCCGAAAAGCGGGGGTTTTGGGCGAATTTATCCAAAATTAAGAACAACAATTATCTTTTTTTTTGTGTTCGCAACAATGCATATTTTGCTTTCATAACGTATGTTAGCTTTTTCTTCTTTTTCATAATTTCGTGCCTCATTTTCCTAACTTTTTAATTTGATCCATAATGATTTGGGTATGTACGGTCACACTAGACTGTAGTCTTTCTAATTGGGTTCTTCATTTGACTAAAACATATTGAATTGGAAACTGAAAGAGTATAAAAATACCGATCGATTGATTTTCCTTAGCAATAAATAAAATTATTTTAAATCATATAAAATAACTACATCTACATTTACCGATTATTCCTATGGTCTCTTTATGATATAATCATCAGATTTGCATTCAATTTTAACTCTAATTCTTAAATAATAAAACTTGGTAATATCGCAGAGTTGTTGTGAAAGAACTTTTCTAATAATCTGTATTTGTAGGATTATATAACCATTTTTTTAAATAAGTATGTAAGTAGTAAATAAATCTATTATTTAGGACTTGAATATAATATTTCTATTCCTCTTAGCTAAAAGTATATTAAGAGAATTTAAGCTTAAGTTGAACATGATTTCAATACCGAATCATGAGTCGTGTAAACATTTAATCAACAATCATACTTAAAAAGCACTAGAGGTCTTCTTAATTTTGAAAACAAAATTTTTTTTTTGCCTCCCTAAAATCATAACACCTTTGAAGGGTTTTAAAAACGAACATTAGTTTTAGTAAACTCAAGATTCTGCGGAGTACATAGAAAACACTTACAGATTTCCACAATTTCCGAAGGCGCCTCCATTTCCATGGCATTCAGGATCTCCGGCATGTTTACTACGCTATTCGAGTGTTCGATTATTTTAAAGAAAATTATGCGTTTTGTTTATAAAATTCCCTTTTACAATCCGCAATTGATTCACTGAGCGAGCATTGCAGGTATTTGCTCGTTTTTTCTCTTTTCCGCCTGCAATTGACTGCATTTACAAACGCTAAAATTAGTTTAGCCCAAGACCACAACGAATCCAAAATAACAACAGAAAATAAATAGAAAAAAAAACGACACGAGTAAATATTACACACAGAGCACCGCAGACCGAAAAAAAAATATATATATCAAGGTTCATTTGTTTTCATCTGGATTATTCGTTATTATATACGGTAATTCTCGCGTTGGTTATGAATTCATTTCGAGTTCATTTTATGGATCATTATCTTGTCAACTATTCACCATTGACTACGCAATTTCACTTTGGAAAATTTATTCGCTACCGTTAATTCCTATTCGAGTGCGACGAATAGGTGCTTGGAGGTGGCGAATTTTCCAGCTTTTTTATATTTCCCGCTTTCCGATCACGTCTATTTGCATTGACGGCTGTCCGGTTAATGTTTTCTTTTACTTTCCATTTCGATCTTTGACTTTCCTCTGCCTACAGTTCAGTCGCTTTCAGACTCATGGAATTTTCACGTGTGTGGGAGAAAAACGAGGAAAAGCTCGAGAGAATCACTCTGCCAATCGATCGGTTTTCCTCGGTTCGGCTCGGCTGCTGGCTGGCAAGATGGAAAATGAGAGTGAAAAATGCGAGCGAGGCCAAATAGGAAACCGCAGGAAAAACCCATAAACTCCAAATAAGAAAAGAGAATAGTACAGCAAGAGAGATAGATAGAGAGAGAGCGTATAAATAGGGGAAAATTTTAAAGGTAATTATTTTAAAACACTGTGAATACTGAATATATTAAATAGCTTCCTTTAATGTCAACTCAAACCAATTTTTAAAATGTAACTTTACGGAGTTGCAAAAGGAAACAAACTACAACAATTTATTTTGCAAGAATAAAATGAAATACTTTTAGGTTTTTGTGACAGAATCGGTGACTATTGTTTTTTAATTAATTTTTTTCCAGATTTAATTTTATAAGTTTTGTATTTATATTTTTCCTCACGTATTTATTTTATTGAAAATAAGTAGATGCATTCAACTAAATTTTGCACCTGGCAGCAAAATTTCAGATATGTGAGATGCAAACTAAAAAACTAAGATGCTAATGCAGATACAGAGGGGATATATGTTAATAGAAAGAAAAAGCTTTTCCACAAGTTTCCATTCGCAAGTGCACGGAACCAATGCTACCGCTTGGGAATTTCAATTACGACCAAAATTCTCAAAACTTGTCGACTTTTTCATTATTCCAATTTAAAACGGGGAATATATATATTTGTCCAAAAAAATATGGCAAATATCATAGAATTATTTGTGCAAAGAAGTGCCCTGGAAAAAGACTTTACCTGGAAATAAATGGAATTTATATAAATCATAAGGCGTCTCTATACTGAAACCTCATGAAGAATGTTAAATGGTAGATAAATGTGACCTCAATAGAAATGAAGGAAAGCTAACTTCAGCACGTCGAAGTTTATATACCCTTTCAGATGGCAATTCCATCATTAACAATTAAAAAAATTTAAAGTATATGGGCATTTCCAAAAAAAAGGTTTACCAGGATGCTAAAATTGAAATTGAATTGTTAAAGAAATGTGAAAATTTTTAATTAATTAATAATTAATTAATTAATTAATTTGAAATATTTCAACTAAAACTCACAGGTAAGATTTTAGCACTTTTCTCGACTCTGAGTGCTGGCTTTGTTTATCGTTCTTATATATTTCATATTCGTTTTTTGATTACATTCTTGTCTCCAGATATTTGTACCAACAATAAATGAACAATAAACTACAAAGGTAGTCAAAAGTATTTACACTTCGACCATTTTCATAGCCAAATTTCTTTTAGTTCTAATTCTTGTTGTTGTTGACCTATGCAGAAGCGAGCCAAAAAGGAATTCGAAAGTTAACGGTTCATAGAAAAGTGCTATAAGTAAAAGAATAGATGCACCTACGGTGTAATATTTACACATAATTTGTTTTCGACTTAATTTTAATGCTATTAAAATTAAAAAAAAAATTTTGTGACAATCTCATAAGTTACTTTATAGTTAAAAAAAATTGCTTAGGTATTGATGAAGATTTTTAATAGTTTGGAATTGAGTTTATTAAGCTATATCCAAAATAAATAGACATATTTTCTTTTGCTTTTAATAGATCAATTTATGCAATAAATAACAATTTATGTAATAACAAAAATAATTTTGGTGGTGAAAATAATTAATAAAAACTAAATAATAAATTGTGAATTTGTGTAAATACTTTTGACTATCCCTGTATAAGCAGATATAAGGAATTCATTCACTAACTGTTATTTTTTTGGTTTCTTTCACCTACTGTCTTTTCTTCATTACTCGATAAGCAGTCGAAATATTCGTTTAAACATTTGTGCTTAAATATAGAGCCTATTTTTGGTTATTAAAAAGAAAAAAAAAACATTATTGTGATTAAGTCCAGAAGATAGTTTTTTAGACATTGTACCGCTCGCGATCACAAGTAGGACATATTAAACAAAAAAAATTGTTGTTGATTACATGCTTATGGTACATTTAACCCAGATGCCAACAAACAATAACAACAATATATTTACAAAAAAATAAAAGCGGATCCAGTCAATTACAAGAAATATTTAAAAGAAAGCTTTGAAAAAAGTAGAAATTGCCTTACCCCAAAAACTGAATAAAAGAATTGTAGTTTTAAAACAGCTCTATAGAAAGTAAGTTCCAATATAAGTTCTTGTTGAGAAATCTACATCTGAATGTAAACTTTTGAAAGTTAAGGAATTTTTTCTTGTGAAAACATAAGTGTACAGTCTGCAAGTAAAACGGATACGTTCATTTTAAATGAAGAACTACTTTCAAAACAATTCATGATAATGACCGTTTCAGAAGTTTTCGAAATATTCGATATATTAATGACCAAATAAGTAAAACAACTTTTTATGAATGTCGGCCCAAAAACGTTAAGCTATCCAACAAGATGTGTGTATGCATGTACCATGCAAATTTTTGTTATTTATTAGAATTTATTCCCACAATATGATTCTGGCACGTAGGTATTTTATAAAAAAATTATTTCTGGCCCCACCCCAGATTTGACAAATTTGCCGTCGACATTAAGAATTTTCGAATTGGCAAGGGGTCGATAAGTCCACCACCAAAAGTTATCGTAAAGGCTGCCACACTGTTAGTGGCACAAAACAGCCAGTTAAAAACACTTATAAAATGTTAAATAGTGCATTAATTATTTTAAAGTAGAGTAATTTATAAATAATGCTGTTTAATTTAATTACTTAAATGGTAAAACTGGATTTACACATTTTTTGAACCACTGGAAAAAAAACTGTGAAAAATGTGGCAGCGCTTTCAAATTCATATATGACAAGAAAAAAAAGCTTACTTTGGCACGTTTGTATACCCTTGCAGATTGTAATTCGATTACTAGGAATCAATACAAAATAAATTAGGTATATTTATGTAAAAAAAAAAAACATAAACAGTTTTATATCTAAAGATCGTATTTGTACGGCAGCTATAAAATATAGTAGTCCGATTTTAATAAAATTAATATCGAAATTCTAGAATTTAAAATGGCTAAATCTAAATTTGATGAAACTCCTGTGGAAACCTGAAAAATGATATTTTTTTTATAAAAAATTTCGGATCATTCCTATGGCAGTTATATGATATAAACGACCGATCCGACCCGTTCCGACATATTTAAGAGTGAGAGTATATAGAAGACTAATTGCAAAGTTTCATTCAGATAACTTCAAAGCTGAGGGACTAGTTTGCGTAGAAACAGACGGACTGTTGATGCTGATAAAAATAAAACATATAAATTATGGTCGGAAATGTCTTTATTATTGCGTTGCAAGCTTCTGACTGAAATAATGTACATATAATACACTGTAAGGGTATAAAAATGTAAGCAATTTTAAATATAAAACACATGTTTTACGTTGTTTGCTGTTGGCCAGCAAAAGAGACAAATCAGCTGTTTGAGCAGTAATAAAAGATTAGAAAATTAAACATTTCGATAGCAAAAATTTAGTAAATCGAAACCGAAAAAATGTGAAAACTGGAGCACAGCTCATAACTGCAATAAGTATTTTAAAAACTAAAAATAAGTGTTTACCTAATTTCAATGTTAATTAATAATAACTACATATTTAACGAAAAAATTGTGTTCTTAACTTGTTCCTCCAATTTCTCAAGCGCAGCGAGTTCCAGTGTGTTCTCTCTGAAGGTCTAATTGGAACTGCTTTACAACTTTCTGTTTCATCTCTTCACTCCAATCACAAATCACACTCGGCGACATCAACTCTATGCTACAACTCTACTTGCGAATTTCTAGAATGACTTGCCAAATTTCATTGGAGTCCACTCCAAAGGCAATAGCCCATTCCGACATATACACCAGTGACACAGTTAGCTTTTAAACTGAGGGACGCACAGACATGGCTAGATCGACTCGGCTGTTAATCCTGATCAAGAATATATATACTTTATATGGTCGGAGATGACTCCTTCACTTATAAACTTCTGACCCAAATTATAATACTCTGCAAGGGTATAAAGACTACAAATTTTGGCAAATATTGGCAAAATTTTGTTCTTAACTTGTTCCAAAAATGTATTTGTTGGAGGTCCGTTGAAATTCTTAGCCATTTTCCCAAGCGCGATGTGTTCTCTCTGAAGGTCTAATTGCAACTGCTTTACAACTTTTTGTTTCAACACTTCACTCGAATCACAAATCACGACTCTATGCTACAACTCTACTTGGAAATTTCTAGAATGACTTGCCAAATTTCATTGGAGTCCACTCCAAAAGCACTAGGCTAGTCCGACATATACACCAGTGAGACAGTTAGCTCTTAAACTGAGGGACTAGTTTGTGTAGAAAAGCACAAATGGACAGACGGACATGGCTAGAAGAATATATATAAATACTTTATATAGTCTGAAATATCTTCATCACTG